TCTACCAGGAAGACAAGACAAAAATAGAAAAATCTCAAGAATCAATTTTGCAAAAAATTCATATGAGGGCAAACAGTACAATAAGAAAAAGATGATTTAGTCTGGTTAAAATACTGGGGAGACCATAAATCCAAGAAATACTGAATTTTTAAAATGGAAAGCAAAGTTGAAGCCAATCCGAAAAAGATGTACAAAGGAATCAGAGGTTAATGAGACTTTGTTTAAATGCACACACACAACACACACATTATATGGCCACAGAGAAAGAAAAGTTAAAATTAAGAGAAAAAGGTAGTGATGGTCTTTCTCTCCCCACTGGACCGGCACCACCAATGCCAGTGCTGGCTCCCGGGAGCTGACAGAATCTCACAGGAAATACTGTGGTATGCCCCACTGTGATGGCTTATTGTGGTTCAATGAGATAAAAATAAAAGGTAACCATTGACAATGTTGGAAGTCCATGGAATGCTTTGGAGTTCTCTTTTGAGTGTCTCCTGTAGAAGATCAATGAAAGATTTTATCTTTACCTAAGTGTGGGGAGTGTCTAGGTCCTCTATCTGTACAGCTTTTAAAGGCTGATGGCAGAGGTAGCAATACGACTGAATTTGGACAGTGAGAAAGAATCTTCTTTTCATTTATTCATCATCTTTGTCAGCTGCACTTGGTAGACAACTCTTTATTACATGCATAGATTGTTTTTCTAAATCCTGTCTAGAACTGGAGCTTTTATTTATCCGCTTTGAGCTTTCTCGTGGTTTATACAATTACTAATAAAGACATGTGTGGGCAGTTATTTCTATATGTATTTATAATAAACTCCATTTTCTCCCCAAGTGCTGATTATCTAGCCAGATGTTCAGTTTTATGTTGGCTCGTTTCAATAAGTGAGATTTTATATATATGTGTGTGTGTGTGTATATATATATATATATATAATAGATGTTTAAAATCTGGAAAATTACATGCAGATAGTCACCCTAAAACTTTTAAGATACCAATGTGCAAAATAAATATTTATTTAGTAATCTCATTTTTTACTTAATAAACACGAACTTTTATGTTCCAAATATGTTCCACCTTTTAGATGTATGGGAAACGCGCGCCGTGGGAAGACCCCTCCAAATGGGTGCTTGACACTTACCCATGGAGCTCAACGTCTCTGCCACAGGAGGGCCCAGCATTGCTTCAGCTGCGCCCTGAAGATGTGGGGTATGAGGGCTGCACATCCACAAAAGAAGCAACAACCTCAAAGCACATTCCACAGACCGACACAGAAGGGGACCCTCTGGTAAGCCACAGAGGTTTAAATCTTCCGATTCACTTGGCATCAGTGACATCAGTGAACTATTGTTTTAGTCATTTGAGTTAGAAGCCAAGTTAGGTAACATTTAGGACTGTCCTGACACTGATACGTGGCTTTAACTCTGTCACCTTCAGCATACTTTCATGGGGTGAAACTCTGAAAAAGGAAACCAAACTTGTTTGCCTTCTAAAAAGTCAAGAAACCTTTTGAAATACCTTGTGAATTGTTTCATGAGAGTGCATTTTTCTGCAGAGAGAGGATCTTCAAAGTTTACTAGACTTTCTCCATGTGACCCCCAAAATGTTAAGAATGATCAATCGAGATGATGATGATGTTTTTGTTTGGTGTTGTTGACATAAGAGTATTCCATAAAATATCAAATTGAACTGTATTTCTAAAACTGTTCTCCCAATATGTATTAAATTGTGTTAGTAATTAAATAAGTTTTCTAAATTCTATGAGTCAATTTACTAGGTATTTAAGGGAATACTAAATGTTGATCACTATGAGTTCAAGGCCAGCCTAAACTGTATAACGAAACCCTATCTAAAAAAGAAAGAAAAAAAATTAGTTCATAATCTACGGCTATAATAAACATTGTAAGAAATAAGGGATTATGATACTTTACAGGCTAAAACCTGGAAGCCAAATAACAAATATATTATTTAAAAATAAATCTTTGAATCATGCAATTCTGATAGAAAATTAAATATCTTGTTTGCTTTTATTTCTATAATTATGGACATAAAGCAAAGTATATATTTGCAGTACAATGAAAATCAAAACATGTAGGAGAACCTTGGAATGGAGCTCAAGGTAAAGCAGTTACCTAGCATGTGTATAGTCCTGATTTTAATCCCCAGAACCTCAAAAAAATGGGGAGAGGGAGGAAGGAAAAAGAGGAAAATGGAAAGGAGAGTGAAAAGGGAGAGGGAGAGAGCAAGAAACCCTAGGAAGAAATTTACTATCTGTTTGGTCTGCCTTTGTATCTGAACAAGAATACAAGCTTGTGGCACATTTCACAGTATTTTAGAAATACTGTATTCATCCACAAGTTGAGTGTTAATAAGTACATACTTAGTGCTAAGATTTAGTGACCAGAAAGTTGTGATTTCTGATCTAAGAAGTAAGTGATCATTTCTGAAATCAAAAATTAATGCTCAGCATCCGATAGAGGAGTGACACTGTGCTACATAAGCTACAATGACAGAGGTGCCTGACAGGTAAAGTTGCGAAGACCCTGAGGAAGGGGTTTGGAGAAAATATTGCTGAGGAGCTGCTTCAGCTGGCTCTTGAGGGATGAAGAAGAGTTTATCATGTGGCAGGATGGAGAACATCCAAAATGAAGGAAAAAACATGTAAGCACTACAGAAATGTATGACAGAAGTGAAGAACCGAGGGAAGAGTATAAAAATTGGTGGAAGGAATTAAACCTATAGAAGCAAGCATATGATTGCTACATCATATTGAGCCTTGTTTGTCTTTGCAGAAAGTTAAAACTTTATCACAGAGACAGAGGAGAGCCACTAAAATTTCTGAGGAAAAACTTCCCTAGTTAGATTTGCCATTTCTAATGATCATTGTGGTAATGAATAAATAGTATTAGCATGAGGTGGTGCACGTCTATAGTCTCAGTTTCCTGGGAGGGTGAGGAAAGTTTGAGCCCAGCCTAGAAAATTTGTTGACTTAACAAGACCCTGTCCCAACATAAAAATTACAGAAGGACTGGGAATGCTGCTTGGTGTGAAGGCCCTAGGTTCAGTGTCTGGTACACGAGGGGGAAAAAAGAAAAAACGAAGATGTAAAAGAAATGATAAGTATTATATTGTAACTATGGTGGAGGGGACAAAGTAGAGGAGAAGGAGGGAAATATTTTTATAGAGAACTAGGATCTCTCACAATGATCACAGAATCATATATAACCTTACCTTCCTCTTGTAGACTTTGATTTCAAAACATAAAGCAACATGTAAGAAGACAAAAAAATCTCATTTATATATTTACTACAGTATATATTTACTACAATTTGGAAAATACATTGCTAATAAGAAAACCCTGCTTCTTCAGCAACATATCTTAGCCATTTTCCACCAGGAAATTCCATGCTTTTTAAAACTAAGACATTGTTAACATGCTTGCTATACCATAATACTTTAAGAGCAGTCACCATTCAAATTGTACCGAACAGCTGGAACTCAGATAGAATGATGTCCCACAGACAGACCTCATTTCTCATTTCCACTCTTGGTAAATTGGGGGGATGCTCCCAACTTCTGTTCCACTAATCAGCTTCACCCAAATATTTGAACAAACAGCCAGCTGCCAATAAGAGGTGGGTCGACAAAGAGAAATGATGGGGAATACGAATGTGCCTCAAGTGAGGGGTGTGTGTGGGTGTGTCCGTGTGTGTGTCCATGTGTGTGGAGGGGAAAGAAGGCTTTTTTGATTTACTAAGAGGTTATCACCAACTATTTTCATTTCCTATTTTCCTGTAGCTGATCTGATACATTCAGAGTTACACTGAAAATATTGTCCTGTGGATTATTAAATGACTGCAAGATATTCTGTACCTGTAGCCTTTTAGCCAGAAAGACATTCCTGCTGAAACTGACTATTATGTTTGTTTACTTTACAGGCATTTATTAAACACAGATTTTACACTAAGCCTGCAAATATGCATACCTTTATTTATGATTAAGGAATCTTGTTTTAGATTTTTCCTTTTATTATTCTAAGAAAAAAGCAATAACTTTGATTACTGTATAAAAAGTACTTACATGCATTAAGCAATGTAAGGTGTTTTATATTATATAGACACCCTTGAAAAGAAAATCAGTCCATACCTTCATAAAGATACCTGTCTATTTCTCTGTGCTTTCTAAAATTGTTGCACCGTCAGTTTATCCACAACTGCTTTGAAACAATTTTTTTATTTTTTTAATTGTTTTTTGTTTGTTTGTTTTTTGTTTTTTTCCGGTACCGGGAGTCGAACTCACTACCTCATGCTTGCCAGGCAGGTGCTGTGCTGCTAAGCTAAACACCCAGCCCCAACAATGTATTTTTTAAAGCTTCTATTGTGAACAGTGCAGCTGCAGATCTATCAAAATCCAAGCAATGTGACTGCCTTTTATTTCATAATACATTGAAGAGCTCCCTTGTCCCCCAGAGCTTTCCTGCATTTGTGCCTTTTACTAGAACAAACATCGGCTATCTCCTATAAAGCTGGGAAACTTGAGACAGCCACTTCTGTTCCAGAAGGTGGTTCTTGTGTTCAGTGATATATCAATCATAGTTCAGCCTGAAATTCAACCACAGCAAAAACTTGACAGTGATTCTTTCCTTCTCCCTCTTCACATGCTCATGGTTCACTTCCTTCAGTCACCTCCTCTTGAGGTCAGCTCCTAAGCAGCAGATGGTGGCTCATGTGCAGCAGCTGTCTTCATTCCACTCCATCCCCTGCTTCTCCTGAGGGACCCTGTGAGCAAGCCTGGGTGTGTGTCTGCGTGTATGAACATTCACGACTTTCACTTGCCATTCAGCGCTCTCTGCATCTCCCAGCCAAAAAGCTGGGAAGCACAGCATACTTTCCAGCAGCCAACCCAGATGTCCAGCTGTGATACAGTTTCCTTTCCAGTCTCCCTGCTGCAGCAGTATTCAGTCACAGCCCCAAACAAAAGAGTAGCAGCCCTATTTTGTCCCCATGGTTTGATGTTGTGTGTTGGGGAGAAATAGTGTAGAAGCCAGGGGCAACAAGTGAAAACCTAAAACAGCTTTCCTATTCCACTTGGATGGGACGTGTTGGTTCTTCCACGAAGCTCAAGCCGTGTTTATTCTGGGGCTGGCTTGCTCAGTGAATCACTGCCCACATAGATGTCTCTTTTTCTTTCTTCAGATGAATATGCTAATGAAACTTCAAGAAGCAGCCAATTACTCGGGCACACAGAGCTGCGACAGCGATAGCACCAGCCACCATGAAGACATTTTGGATTCATCTCTTGAATCTACCCTCTAGAGGGTGAAAACAGCAAGGGGAAAAGATGATGATTTTAAAAATGGTTTCTTTTGAAAGGTATTTTCACTAAACCACTGCCAGTATGAAAGCACCCTGTCCAAGGCCCTGACCCAGAGTTGTGGTCTCTGAGGAGGCAGCAGAACCAAGTTTGAACTGCCAGGATGCTAAATTGAAATGGGAGCTTAACTTTATTTTATTTCTAGGCATTTTTATATCCACGGAGCAACACGAGGCTCCATCACTCAACTGGAAAGGACCCTAGTGATGGGCAACTGAATAGATTGCACATGGGATAGCTGAACTGGACTTTATTTTCTTGGTCTTAAAAAGTTTACAATGTCGACCCTTTTTTTGTCACTTTCTTTTGATTCCTCTAAGGGACTTTCTCCCCAGACAGGGTCCATTCCTCTGATCTGTCCAATCTCCTTTGTGCCACATGGTGCTGGTCGCACGGCTCCAGTAGTGTTTGTGTTGCGCGCTCACCCCATTCCAGAACGCAGCCAAGAGGCCAGGCCTCCATAAGCACAAATGGAATTGTGCAACCACCAGAGAACACTACTGGGGCAAACTGGAGAAGTGCCAATGCAATTCCGACCGCCATATTCTCATGATGTGCTCCACCAACTTTTTAGTGTATGAGTCACAGGTTTTATAAGGTTGTTTTTACCACAGTGGTCTTTTGAAACCACCTGCCCACTCCCTTAACAAGAGTTTTATACCAATTCTAGGTCAACACTGATCAAAGGCTTCTTTAGGGCTTTATTTGTTTGAGCCTTTTCAGTGCAAGAAGGAACATTTCCTATGGTGCTGTCTCACTGCCTTAAAACAGATTTCTACAACAGTGTAACAGTTGGTTTAAATCCTGAACCATTGGTAATTTCCACTGTCTTTTCATTTCTAACCGAGCAATGCCAGTTAACACAGTAGCTTCATCTCGATATCATTCTGTTTTCTTTTATTTTAAGAAATGGATAGGAGAAAGATCAGTATTTTTGCCTTGTGAATAGGTTGCTTTGCCTATCCCCGAAACTATTCTAGTAATCTAGAAACCCTCTTTGACTGTCACGTAAGAGCAGAGGCATGTGGCTAAATTTTAAGTTCTAAGTGAAAGAGTTCCAGAAGGTGGGAGATTTTGAATTCTGGTCCAGCAGAGCTGGAAGCACCAGACGCAGCACGAGCACAACTATTTAGCTTTCCTTCCCTACTCTTTGTTTTTCTTTCATTCGTTTTGACGCATGTTGTTTTGATTGCTATTCTTGTACATGGGAAATTCAGCATTGCAGAACACTGAAGCAGTAAAGTCACTGTGGAAGAGGAAGCGTATATACTGTAAAGGAAGGTTAGATTTGCACAGTCTACTGGGTAGGTATTGTAAATAATACTTTTTCAAACTTGCACAAATCGAAACAAACACAAACAAAAGTTGTATTTTATCCTGTTGGTGTTAAGAGGTGTTTCACTTGCTGAGATTTCCTGTACGTTGCAAACAAATACAGAATGCAAACCCTCAAAACTGTTATTATCTGGTGTATTTGTCCTGTATTTACAGTTGTTAGGACTATGCAGGAACTATCAGTGCTAGAGTAAGCATGCTTCAAAACTGTACATGAAGCCAATACATTTTTGGATAAGTAACACTGTCTGAAAGTACATCTGTTGTGGCAGGCTTTAAAGAGAGTGCGTGGAAACTGATTAGCCACTGGAGAAGCTCTCACCACACACAGAGCACAGGTATTAAGTTTGTGAAACTCAAGGGCTAGGCCATGGTGTAGACTTGTTCTATGCATGTGCAAATGTGTGACTTCTAGGACGTGTAAATGGTGCTACCCTCTGTGACCACCCGTGGGTCAGTTGCTATAGAACAATAACAGCACCACAAGACATCGGTGCAGTTTTCAGAGTGTTGCTAAGTGTACAGGTCCTTTCACGGTGCTATTGCCCTGAGGGAAATCTGAACTGAATATATGCACATAGAATTGTCACCCTGACTTTGAAGCCTAAAACATGGTTCAAATCTCTTGTGCAACATCAATATATATAGCTGGATGAGTGATTAGTAGCCCTTGTATAATATGTGATCAAAAAAAATTGCTAATCTTTCCCTGCCATTTTGAGAAACATAGTCCGAACATGAGCATAAGCAGAATATCCTGCAATACATCCCAGTAGGTCCACCTAGTTTACAACTTAAACTAGTTTGTGAAACATTTGTCTGTATACATTTTATATTTTGTACATTTTTGATGTAACATATCATGTAAATAGGCAGAAACAGTGAAATAAATCATCTGAAAAGTTTTGTAGTCTTTGTAAAGCTCTGACAATAAGTACTTGGTGTCAATGGACTTAACTGGATGATGTATTTTCTATTGGTTTATTGTTCCTCTAGCTTGTAAACCAGCTTGCATATATTTTTTTGCAAATGTGCACCCTGTATCTGTCTAAATTATTACTTTGCCATTAAAGTGGAATTATTTATTGACAACAAGGTGTGGTGTTTGTGTACAGAGAAAAATTAGGTGGTTATACATAAGAAAGTGTCAAGCTTTAAAATGTTACTTAAACTATTAATATGCCATTATTAGGGATATGTGTGAATTTATATTTTACAACATCATAGGAAGGACTAAATGAAATAGATATAGCTCTTAATATGAAAATCATTTATTCAGTGAATGTTTTAGAAAATTCTGAATAGTCCTTCTCTTGGTTACTTCTCTCTTGTCGCTGAGACAAAATACCTGACACCCACTATTAAGGAAGGAAAGCTTTATTTAGTTCACAGTTTGTGGAGGTTTCAGTCCATATTCGGCTGGCTCCAAGGCAGGTAGGTGGCACATGGCAGAGCACAACAGTTCATGGTGGTGGAAGATAGCAAAAGCAACAAGAGCAAAAGGAAGGATCAGCAGGCTGGAAGAGCAAGCCTTTTCCCCTCCCCTACACTGTATGCAAGCTGCCTGCCCCAGGACAGGTGTAGCTCTCATACCCATAATCCTAGCATTGGACCATGAATCAATCATAAACTTTAGAAGCCCACTCCATGACTGCATGAGACTTTTGGGGGGACATCCAGACACAAACCATAACAGTCTTCCTATATGCTTGATGGTAAAAGAAGAATATAAAACAAAATGTTAATATTTACTAAGTTAAATAGACTCATTAAATGTTTATTTTTATTGAATTAACTTCTCTTATGACCCTTTGCTTCTAAAGGTGATTTTAAAGCAAACTGATTGTTTGGGTAATGGTTTACTTTTCATTGGAGAAGATTTCAAAATGAAAGATAACTTCCTTTAAGTTATAATTTCTTGCCGGGCATGGTGGTGCACACCCAGCGTTCAGGAGGCTGAGGTAGAAGAATTGCCATGAGTTAGAGGCCGGCCCAGGTATGTAGTGAGTTCAAGACCAGCCTGGACTACAGAGCAAGACCCTGTCTCAAAAAAAAAAATTTTTTTTTAAAGTAGCTTCAGAATTTCTTTAACCCTGGCTATTGCAATGTAAATTTGCATGATATAAGCAGGGTTTTAATTGTAAAATCAAGAAAAGTTTAGAATTAGAATAATTGTAGAACAGAAAAGTGTATTAGTTAAAGGGTTCAGTCTTCCACAAGGAATTATAATTAAAGAGTTTGTTCTTTCACTCAGTTTGGTAGATACAGCAAACTTCCACAGTGTATTTTACTCAGGTAAACAATACATTAATTCAAAATTTAGAGCTAGTGGTATAGTTTCATGATGAAGGGCTTCCCTAGCATGCTCAAGGCCCTGGATTCAATACCAGTCTGCATGCACATAAACACACGCTTGCACACACACACAAACACACACACATTATCTATTTAGAAGTTTTTTTTTTTGAAGACTGCATTTTTCAAATATATAAAGCACTTAGGAAAGTCTCTGTCACATCTTAAATGCTACACAAGGGCTAGCCATTATTACGATTCAACAAAAGTTTACTATGTATGCAATATACACCAGGTAATTTGCTTAGGGTTCAGAGACACTGAGATATCAACCATGGTCCTACAAGACTTACAATTAATAGTGGGATCTCTGTCCTCATACACTTCTTACTTTCTATGGTAGGGATGGCCAGTGAAGAGTCCAATGAATAGTCCACGGAAGAGTGCTACAGGGTATTTTCAGACACTGATAAAATCAATGATACTAGCAAACTGTGTTTGAGTGTGGAGAAATTTAAACATTTGTATTTTAGCTTTTTGGACTTTCACTCTTTAAAAATATATATTTTTATAAAAGTAGACTACTTATATCTATTACTATGTCTTTCAACAGAGAAGATGTTTGAAAAAGAAGCTCCAATTTTGTTTTATTTTGTTTTGCTTTTTGCTGGAGTCAGGAGTAATGACTAATCAGTAACATACTATTTTTTAGTCTAGTAAAAGTCATCTGGATAAATAATCACTAGAGGATCTCTTTGCCACCTGAATTATACCCTTTCTGGGTAAGTATATATTGCCTGGGAGTTCTCAAAGAAAATATATGCATAAAAATTGAACATATCACAGTAGAAATTAGAATCATAGAGGAAAATGAAATTTCTCAGATTATTTATATTCTATGAAATTATAATAAGAATATTAATCTTTCTGTATCATTGTAATTTTTAATACTTGACCATAACATTTTATATTGACATGGTAGAGTTACAGTTGATGCACAACTGACTAAAAAATGTTTACATTGATTAAATGTTAATAATATATTTAATACATTGCACTATATTAACTGTTGGAGACCACTACAAAGTGGCTGTGAGAAGGATTTAATATTAATGAGTTGGCTTTCTGTGTTTACTTGGGAGTTGTCTGAAGCTTCGGTACCTTGCCTGAAGATGGGCAGTGGACTCATAGTAAGTAAACCTCTATGAGTAACTGGTCACTGTTGAGGCCTATATTGGCCTGTCAAGCTGTGATGCCTCAAAGGACAAGATAAGGTCACAGCTGAGGTTGTCTGGCTCCAACCCCAATTAACTACAAGGAAACTGCAGGTGCAAGCTCCACACTCCTACAATAAATACCAACCTAAAGATAAGGTAGTTCTCTTGATTGACGTAATTACTACTTGGGAAAATTCTCCCAAGGTCCTGTGAGATTCCTGCATTTTCTTGGGTATACTCCTTCTTTGTTTGAAAACCAAATAAATATGGGCTTCTCAGAGAAGTCTTTGTCTAAACCCAGGGAATATGGAAGCTGTAAGAGAGTGAGACTGTCCTGGAGCCCTGAAATCATTTTATTTTATAAATAAAAGGAGGAAAACATTAACAGACAGACAACCTTTTACAAAATAGCAAAAGAACGGTACAGAAAGTACAAAGTGGTAGGAAATTAACAATGCTTGTTGCATTACATATTGATATTTTCAAAGTGGTTTCTCATGAAAACAGGTAGAGACATGCAATATTGATCAACCAAGGACTCACTGACAGTTTCTTTCAGCAAAGAAATATAAGACAGCAGAACAACTATGTTAACTATCCTGTATACACATACATACAAAATTTGTCCTTCTTTCCCTTCTCTTTTCCCACATTCCAGTTGCCCTTTACCCTTGCGTGTTTTCCTATCATTTCACAATGCCTATCATACCTCCTAATTTAAATTAACTCTTTCAGGTTTTACAGTAGTGAGACAATGCGGTGCTTGCACATGCAGGTCGATTTATTTCACTTGTGAGTATGGTCTCTAGTTGTGACCATTTACCTATAAAGGCCTCGAGTTTATCTTTATTTAGACCTGACTAATATTCCATTAAATAAAACTACCACAATTTTCTTATCCAATCCTCGGTGGATGGATATTTGGGTTGCTTCCACAATTTAACAATTACAAATTGTGCTGCTATGAACATGGGTGCACATATATCACTGGGATATGATGTTTTTAGATTAATTCTCTCATTTATTTAAGCCTTCACTGTCCACTCGCTTGGGAGGTTGTGGGCCTGATCAACCTGCAATAACTAAGGGTTATTTAACCTGATAGTAAACTATAGTGTTAAGATTAATAAACCTAATTCATTTTACTTCTTTAATATGACTACTAGAAAATTTTATGATAAATATGTTGCTCATTTTTGTGGCTCCTTGGATACTGTTATTTGTGTTGGACTATAATGCTAAAGAAAGGGCTAATCTTTACAAGATGACCGTGGGATCATCTCCCTCATTTCATTTATATTTTGCTTTTTACAAATGGAAGAGGGAGATAATCTGGACCTTGTGTATCTCTGCAGCCCCTTTTCACCATGTCCACTGTTTCTATTTGGTTTCTGCTCTCTATGACATTCACTTAATTATGGAACATAGAAGTAATTATTGAATCAAGAACAACTCTAACTTTCTAGAAAATATAGCTGGGATCATGAGTTAAAGTTTTATTATAATCTTGCTGCATGGTAAAACCTACAGGAAGTTAACTTAAAGTTTTCTTTCCTACTAGAAACATTTATAGAAACTATAGCTAAGACAAAGCAGAAAAAGAAAACATTTAAATATTCTCAAACTATTGTCAGGTGGATGGCTGAATAGTTCCCCAGTACAAATATTACTCTCATAACTAATTAAATCACTATTGAAGATTTCTTGCATTTTATCAGAATTCTGATTTATTCAAAGGAGATCTCAAGTTACATTGCACAGTAACATTCTGCCTACACCAGGTTTAGAAAAATGTTTTTGTATAGTTTGATTTCTCTTACCCCAAGGCTTTTACATATTCTCAAATGCCATTGCAAGCCATTAATGCCTTAGTCAAAACTTTTTGATCTCTCAGACTAGGTCAAGAATCTAAATTATTTGCTTTTCTACAAGAGCATGTACATGCAGTGTCCTGCATGTCATATTTTTCCTTCTGGGATTAGAATATATTTCACTCTCCACAAATATGTATTGAATAAAATTATTTCCTTTTGTGTGTGTGGTACTGGGAACTGAACTCATGGCATTCACACTGAGCTATATCTCCAACTCATTATTATTAATTATTATTATTGTTATTGTTATTATTTTGAGACAGAGTCTCCCTAAGTCACTAACTTGCCCTGACAAGGTTGGAATTTGAAATCTTACCTTTTACTCTCAGAGTGCTGAGATTACTAGCATATGTCACCACAGCCAGCTTCTGAACCTTACCATGCATCCAACAATTCCATTAAATTTGATAACTACCATTTATAGGCATGGTGCTTCCTAGGAAACCAGACTGCAAATTTAAAAACTGAACAGTGACCAGGAAAAGGATCAGATAAGCTGAGGACCTGAGTTTTCCAATAAAGACAGAACATTGCCTCAGGCTTAAGAATTTTTCCCCCTTTAGATGTAATATGCTCCATATTTCCTATCAAGTTTTCTTTATCTTTCTGTTCTTCACATAGTCTTTAGATGTCCTAGTTATATGTAGTGCAATTTAAATATCTGAGATTATTTTGGGAACAAAGATATACACCAAGCAGTTGCAAA